GATTTAAAATTGTTAGACATCATCCAAAGCTGCAAATTTTTTTCTCCCAAATATCACAAAAGATAGTCTCCAAAAACTTGGAGAATTCTATCAAGAACCCTAGACCAAGTAGGTTCTTTCTATACTATAAGAATTTTTCGTCACACGGATGGATGAATAACTTTGAATAACATGAATGATCTGATAATTAATTCAATGATCTTTTCGCTCAATAGTGAAATAACGGTAAAAAAAATTGATTTTTTTGGTTGAAAAATCAATACCAAACACGCACTTAATAGCATTTCGAAAAAAAAATTCAATTTCAATTCACCTTCATATCACAAACAAAAACAACGGAAGGTAATGAGTTTTTTTTTTTTTTTTAATTTCTAATTTTATAATTGAAACTTATTTTTCAAATTTATGCCACGTACTTTTAATTATAAAATCATTTTTTTTTGTTAGGAAAAATATATTTGAAGTCAGATTGACATCATAAAAGATATTAGTAAAACATTTCACCTCTCAAGATTTTTGTCAACTTTTTTCAAACACCCCCATAGAGTGGAATAAATGTTAATTTTATGTAAAAATGCATTTTAGAATAGTAAATTGATGTGAAATATGTGGTTGAAAAATAAGGATTTTTTTGATTTGTATGTAATATTATTTTAATAAAGAATGTGTGATTGAAAAGAAGAAAGAAAAAATACATTTCGAAAAAAAATGGCTACCAAACGGGACATATATCTATTCCTTTTAAAATATTAAAATTTTAAAAAATTATTATTCTCATCTACGTCTCATCCAATTTGATCCTCATTAAATTCATTCGTTTAAAAAATCTCTATATTCATCCCTATTATATATAAGATCAACCTTCTTACAATTCAATAATGAATTTTACAAAATCAAATATTAGGATGGGATTCTATGAATCATGAATACCTATAATCACTACCACCCTTAGTGTGTCATGGACTCTATACATAAGATTATACAATACATCTTATGAAAAATTAACAATTTTTTTGACAGAAGTAATTAACATATTTTAAACTGTACATAATAAAATAAATTAAAATAAAAGTCAAGAAGTTTGTAATGATTAGAGAGAATTTATGAAAATAAAATGAAACAATTAGAGATATAGAAATGATAATTTTATTGGTGATAATCCGATTAGAGATGTAGAAATGATAATATTATTGTTCAATTTTTGTTCGTTTCCTTCAATTGTCTTTTATTTTAACTTACTTTATTATGTATAGTTTAAAATCTGTTAATTACTACTTTAAAAAAAATAAAAATTGCTAATGTTTCATAAAATTGCGAAGATGATTTTTTTTTTAATGATTATTGGAGTTTTAATTAAATACAAATTCTAAAAGAATATAAAAAAGGTCCAAAAGAATTTAATAAAAATATACGTTAGCAGATGAATTTAGAATGATATATTTTTATTTATTAATTTAAATATGTCTATTTAAGTAAATTTACGTAAGATTAAATATATAATATAATTATCTTTATATATATATACACACACACACACACGATTCTGCTACCGAGCAGGGACAAGAAATAAGTTTGTTTCTAGGCTTATGTGGTAACCTTTTTTGAAAAAAAATACAAACAAAACATGACGGCACGTGCAGCCCAATTATTTCTCCCAAATCTCCCTTTGCTTAGCTACGCCCACACATTTGTATCTTATCCCGAATCAAAATCCAGAAAAGTGAAAACCTTCTCAATGCCTCACCATTGCCGGCTGCACTTCAATCGAAGGTTCGCTGCTGCCCCGGTAGAAATTCTGTCCAAGATTTAGCCGGCTCATGCTTACCATCTCCAGTCGGCAACAATTCCATCCAAGAAAAGTTTCTTAAATAAATGATATTATGGCAATGAAAACCAAAATTACACAAGCAATTCAGTGTCTACCTGCCAATTTGAAGTTTAAACAAACATGAAACAAAAAACTTCTACCTAGATTTTATAGCCAAAGGATTGGTAATGGTGATAACCTTTTTATAGAACTTGATTTCAAAAGACAACAATAAAATGGAAAATCAAATGGTGGAAAATTAAATTATGTGTGATATTTGCATACTATTCTCTGAGCACATATAGTAATCACCAGAAAATGACTTCTCTGTGTCATACTTCAGAACAGAAATTAATCCATATATGATGTTGCTTGCTGATAAGTGTATTTTATACACTTATTCGGTACCTTAAATAGCGATATTTGATGGTTCTTTCGATAAATTATATCCTAATAAGTGAAATTTTATGAAGAAAACTGATTTGAAGGAAAGAAGTAAAAGTGGACAAAATTGGAGAAAATGACTAAATCATATGAGATCCAAAGTTCGGGGACTAAAGTGCAAATATTCAAAAGTTGTGGCGAACCTCAAGATGAAGATCCGAGAGCATTAGGAGTCAATTGGATGAAGATAGATGTCAAAGGGATCAAATTTAGGCAAAATATGATCATAAATCAATTTCCATCCGAAAAGTTATGCTCCGGAATTTCAGTCTCATATTGAGACCCATTTTTGACATAGTAAAAGATTGAATTGGAGAATGATATCTGAAGAAAAGTTGTATCCGTTTGAGTTAACTTTCTAATGCAACTTGAATCGCCTCCATCGGACGTCGAAAGAGAAAGTTATGGTAAAAATACTAAACAAAATGCTGTCTGCCCGAAGGTGGCGCCGCATCCCAGACGCGTTAGGGCGCAATTCCGGCCCATTTTGAGTCCATATGAAAACCCTATTCTTCCCACACTGTAAGGGACTTATAAATATGAAATTTCTCACACTTCAAGGGTTTCCACACATTCGAAGGCGAGAAACACATCTTTGGGCAAGGAGGAGATATTCAAAGGGAGAAAATAACGATAAATTCATCGTGTGAAGCATCAATTGAAAGAGGAAGAAATTATTGGTGCAAGATCTACTTTTTCTTCTACATATTTAACTCTAAATCCGGTGATGTACTCCGAGACCATTTGTTGTTTCTTTTCTTTCACTATGCTTAGTTAAATTTTTTGTTAGGGCAAACAATGTAACATATTTGGGATCCTTTATTTCTTTTATTTGAGATTCTTATTCGTTATGATTATATGTATGGATTTTAATCATTTTCTTAATGCTTTGAATTTTCTGGCCAATTATTCAATGATTTTGTGAATAATAATTGCGTAGAGATGCAGATTCTTGTTTAGATCACATATTAAAATTCAGTAAATTAATATAACGTATAGATATATTTATATTAATTGCTACGATTCTATATGAATTCTTAGAACTATTATTTTGTTTAAAAAATGTTGATTCGCATAGAGATATTTAATTAAATTATTTAAATTGGCTCAATGAGAACACGAGAGTGGGAAATTGAATACCGTAGAAGAATTCGACCGAACACTACTTTAGATTTTATGAATCTCGATATTAGAAGTAAATGTGATCAATAGGTGAAGTTGTTCCGTCCCAATATCCATGTATTATTTGAATTCTCACTCATTTTTTTTGCACTCACGAACTTTTAAGTAGTTAAAATAAAAATCACTTTTAATCATTGTTCTCGTTTAATTTCGTCAAATAGAAGTTATAAATAATAAATTGAGTATTAAACTATAGTTCTCGTGGAATCGATAATCCGGACTCAAAATGTCCACTTTACTACTTGTTACGATTCGTCCACTTTTGAGATAAAATCGACAACACCTGCTGACTTTAAAATTAGACTATCTTGGCTCGATGATGCAGGGATTTTTCATTGTTGGGATTCACTACTGCAGAACTTGTTGTTACCGGAATCGTTTTTCAGGGTTTCAATTTGAGGTTCCTTTTTGGTTTGTCATGTTCTTTCTTTTTTAATTATTTTCCAAAATGTAGGTCTCCATCTTTACTTTCTCTCTCTCTATCCTCACGTGCTGCGTTTCTCCCCAGTTTTAATTTCAAGCAGCATCAGCCATTTTAAAATCCGGTCGAAAGTGTTGTCACTGAAGCTGTTCAACAAGCATCATTCATTGATATGTGAGTTTCTGCACCAATTTTATTTTAGAGAAAAGCCCCCTGCACAGCCATTTGCGAAGAGCCTATACAGCAACTCTCACATGGGGATGGACTCCACATGTAGACCTCATGTGTGGGGTTCACCCCAGTGTGTGCACCTGTACAGCCTCTGTGTAAAGGGGGTCTGTGCGGGTAGCACAGTCATTTATTATATTCTACTTATAATAAACTAAAATGGAAAAAAAAAGGAAAAAGGTAGATTTACATCTCTCTCTCACACACACACACACACACACATATATATATATATATATATATATATTATTTTTTGATGGGAAACTTGTAATTGTTACTATTCAGATGCGCACTGGGTAAACCTCGGTCTGACGTAATAACCTGCAAAGCACGCCAGCTAGGTAAATCGCACTAGGCAAGCTCGGTGCGACAGGTTCGACCAAGAAAGTATTGATAGAGAGAATCGAATTCGTGACCAAAGACCTCCACACTCACTTATTCCACCAATTCGATCACCCCAAGAGGGGCTACATCATATTTTATATGCACGTGAAGTGGTGAAATATAATTGTGGAAGAATTTCTTCAACAAAAAAGAAGTTTCTTCGTTCTCTTTTGGACACCTGACCATTAGTATTATTCCACTTGTTCCTCTATATGGTCATCGAGCTGCAAAATTTCTATAATATTTCGGGGGAACCTTGTTACATGTACACTATGATGTACACTGTAATTTACATTTTGTTATATGTCATTATCTTATTAAATAGTTTAAATTTCAGACAATTTTTTCATTCAATTAATACTTGACAACAATGCAAATATCGACTAAAGTGTCAAAAATCAATGTACAAATAACAAATTTGACCTCGGGGGTGCAGGGGAATAACAAAACAAATTTCATAAAAAAAAAAGTTTATCTCCATGAGGGGTACAAGGGTAAATTGCTCTAAATAACGTGTGCACTGCGATTATTTGAACCTGATTCCATTCATCGGCAGGCGAGAAAAGGGGATCCACACTCGAATAATCCATATCGTAGAATAATTTCATCTTATTGAAATTACTGATCAAGGTTGTCTCGCCTTGCGATCTGTTCAATTTTAAATCTCATATTCATTTGCTGGAGTACTTTTATTTGACGATTTGATTTTTGCCAAGTCCGACGACTATCTAAGCGTTTTTAGGTTACTCAGGAGGAAGAGGAAGATGAATACAATTGTTGCGGCACTATGGACGGCGCTGCTCTTTGCGGCATATCAGTTCCCCTTGCGACTTGCTTTCCCATCCACGGTCCCCGCCATGCTGTGGTCGCCTCATCTAGATCCGTATGCCTCCCTCCTATCGCTTTAAGAATTATATATTGTTTAGATGCTTCGCGGTAGATTGGAATTAAGCATGACATACTTCACCCATTTGTTTTATTAAGTCTTTAACTATTGAAATTGGTCTGAATCTGGGCAAGAACGTACCTCGATTTTTGGAGAACTGTCGTGTCTATTTTGCCCTTCATTCGAATTTGTAAAAACACGTTTTGGGGGAAGTGTGTTAATAAATGTCATATTGAGCTTATGTAACTGGGCTTTATTGTTATAGCCTCTGAAAATTCAGTTCACATCTGGAACTATAACAGTTAAGGAAGCTGAGGTTATGATTGTGTTGGCATTACTTAGATGGTTGTAGACTAAGGAGTCCTAAAGATATTTTTATCTACTATTATTATTTTTTTAAAGCAATGAGATAGAAGAGCAGGAAGCAACCCTCATAGAAACCATCAAAATTATGAATAGTAAATCATGGATGCTGGTAGCAGGTTTGTGAGAAATTTAAAATCTGTGTCTACCCAATGTTCCATGTTCTTGTGCTCTTCCCTAGTGGGTGACTTGTAACTTTGATCTAAAATTGAGTTTTAAGATCAAAATGTCTACCTCAAATTGTGAAGCAACTTTTGATAATTTATCCTGTTATTTTTTTTGTGCAACATTTGACTTTATGTTTAAAATATGATACTTTGACTTTTTATGCAAGGAGTTTATGTTATTTACTATAGAAAATAAAAGGTTATCTTATTTACTAATACTTGACAATATCCCTTACCATACCTATTTCATTGAAAATATTATCTTTAACTATCTGCGGCTTTATGAAGTTAAATAAGTTGACATGTTCACTGTGACATTAGATTTAGGATACTGGAGTTATACAGTAAGATATTAACTGAGGTCATGTACTCATTTTCCATTAAAACTAAGAAGCAGAGAAAAGGATTTAATTTACCCTAATCCTTTGATAATTTAATTTCACGCAAGGAAAAAAAGAATATAGAACACAGAAATGAGGTTCTTTGTTGGAGTAGGATAGTGGTGCCTGTTAAGGAAGATGGGTGTTGATTGTGAGTGATTGCATGATGCACAATAGAGAGGATCATACAGAGAGCAAATTGGTTGGGTTTGAGAATCAGTCTTGGCAGTAATAAGAAATTTTTTAAAAAGATAGTTGCTGGTTTTAAGTTTCTGAAAATAAGACAGAAGAAGAACTAAGGAGATGAAGAAGAAATAATTTTAGAAGAGAAAATCATAACTTGATTCTGAATAATAATTAATTATCCTGAAATTATGAGATTACGTGATTTTTTAAGGCTTCTTCAGCTAGAATAAGGGATATACTTCCTAAAAGATCACTTATAATTTAGTTTTGTCAGACTGTCTTAGACAACTTAGCACACCAAATACAAATAATACGTCACTAACTTAGATGCATGGGACATACCTATGTCCTTTCTACTGCAAATTGAATTTTACCAAAAATAGTCTTGACACTTGAAATCTCAAGTGAAAAAATATAAAAACAAACTGCATTGAACTTCATCTCCCCATGCACCTGTTACTTTGCCTTGCATGCTTTCATATTTGATCTTGTAAATTGAAATATAAAAGATTATTGCATATGTTACAGATCATCTGGCAGAATGAAAGAAGTCGTTGATTACAGAGTCCTATCTCCAGGAGACCTAGCCAACTCTGTGATGACTGAAGGGGGATGGTCGGACTTCCTGGTATTTCCCTGTCTTCTTCCTTCTTTGCCTTGCATGCTTTCATATTTGATCTTGTAAATTGAAATATAAAAGATTATTGCATATGTTACAGATCATCTGGCAGAATGAAAGAAGTCGTTGATTACAGAGTCCTATCTCCAGGAGACCTAGCCAACTCTGTGATGACTGAAGGGGGATGGTCGGACTTCCTGGTATTTCCCTGTCTTCTTCCTTCATCCTTCATTCTAATTTACTTGATGCTTGCAAAGAAACGATTAATTAGATTGGAGAATATGAGATTGCTTCTATTCTTTGATCACCCTTTGTTCCACATTAATTCAATTAAAAGACAAATCTTATAGTGGTTTACTCTTTTTAGTGCATGAGAAAGGAAGCTCAGCCAGCTCTGGATCTTGCACTTATTTTTGTAGGAGAACAGGTAAGAGCTTCTCTTTTCTCTTGTTGTTCTGGAGACTAAGTAATTGTACATCTGCCTCATATGCTTCCCATAACCTAAAATAAAAATGAGAAATTACTTGAGAATTATATCTTGTCCATTTGCGTATATTATTATCTCTCTCCATGCAAGGAAGGTGACCAGTTTCTTAAATCCTCTTTGTGTGAGCAAATTACTTCAGGACATTCTTTATGTATGTGGAGAACTAACATATATGATATGCTTCCCCGCTGTTAGTTAGGACATCGGTAAATTCAAGTTATATGTGGGGCCAATGTGTTTTCCAAATATCTAAAAACCCACACCAAGTGTGGTCCTTTATTCCTTTACAAAACTATATTGTTTACGTTAGGGAGGGATAATGGGGAATCTTCTCCCTTGCACTGTGAGAGAGCTAAAGAAATACTTAATCAATGAGGGTATAAGAGAAAATTAAATTAGAGAAACGAGATTCACATTGCATGGAATACGAAATATTGTTTAACAAATTGTAAAACAAAATGCGTATGTTACACTCATCATTAGTCAAAACAACTTCATTTTGCAATTGATTACATAAAATAGTTATCTCGTTTCTATAAAGAATCAAAGTTCTTGGACTGTATAATTTCTTTAAATCTATCTGGAAAAAATTAAATTGAATCCATTAAGATTGTCATGGGGAATATGACAAAATTACGGTAATATTGATGTGTACCCCTCTATATTTCTGATTTTGCATTCTTGAAATACTTTCCAATAGATGCAATTATAGTTCATATTTCCGAAATTACATTCATGGGAAGCAAAATTGGCTTCAGAGAAAAAAAAAGTTTACTTTATTGAGGTGTAGATAAAATAACATCGAGGTGGATTTTGGTAAAACAAGAAGTGATATAATAAATGAATGCGATTGACAATCGCTCAAGGTTGTACCCAATGAAGTAAGCGACGTTAGAATAAATTAGGACGGTTTAAATATACTCAAAGAAGCTGCTAGATGCATCAGTTTGTAACTTTGTATACGTGATTCATCTGGTATTAGTGGGGTGCATCTATGAGGTAGAGGTAATGACATAATAAAAGCCCTTGGTTTAATCTTGAAAATGCTAGATGATGGCGTAGATAAGGAGAAGAGGATCCACGTAGCCAGGATATACATATGTATAGCCTAAGGCTATATTTCGAGCTGAGTTCAAATTAAATATCTTTGACAGCATTCTTTCTTCTGGTGATCGAAATACATTTTCTCATATGCAGTTGCAGTCTCTGGATATATCTGGATCCAAAAATTCAGACCCAGCACTTGTGGACCTGCTCAAGGTAGCAATTTGGATAGCTTCATGTTTGGGATTTTTGGTTAGGGTCTAAGAATATCATGATGGTGCTACCTTTTTTTATAAATTAGAAGATATCATTTGAAACATCTCAATTGTTTTCTGCATTCTTCTATGGATAGGTCTCCTTTTCAAATGCCAGCTTCTCTGTGGCCTTCCCCTATGTATCTCCACCAGAGGAGAAAGTGGCAATGGAAAGCTCTTTGATTTCAGAATTTGCAGATGCTTGCCAGCATAATTTACAGCTCAGTAATATTGCTTTTCTGGATTCATGTTCTGTAGAGGGTCGAAACTTTGACAAAATTGCAGACGTTCATTCAGTACATGTAAATGTCAACAATGATGCCATTAATTTTGTTGCCTTGAGAATATTTTATCTTATAGAATACTGTGTTATATTACTTTGATAGGACTACCTGCGATCTACAATGGATAAGAAATCTGAGAGGGGAACAAATCTGATCGTGTTTTGCCATGGAGGTTCCCGTTCTATGCTAGATTCTGATCAGCCGTATTCTGAGGGTAAGTTATATAACACCTTTGCCACAAGGGATCATATTCCTTTTCTTCTAATTTGAATGCTTTTCATGAACTTAATTGCTATTGGGGCCTAAGAATTAAGAGTTTTGTCAAATATGCAGGCCAAATTCTCTCTGAACTTCTCAATTCTGTCGAGCAGATGGGTGCAAAATACACAGCTCTATATGTCTCTGATCCATTTAAGTCTATTATGTACCCTTCACACCGGGAACTAGAAAGATTTCTTGCTGAAAGTACTTTTGGAAATGGATCATCGAATTCAACAGTGTGTGATGGAGTTTGTCAGATTAAGTCATCTCTTCTGGAGGGGATTCTAGTGGTAAGTTGAGCCTATCTTATATTAGAGAAATTGAGGCTGGAGAGTGTTGATAATATGGAGCTTTCTTCTTAACCATTTATCTGTGTATTTATTATTGTAATTATTATTCTCATTATCATCATCATTTTCTGAGTGATTGGATTTTTTTTTTTTTTTTTTGGGGGGGGGGGGGGGGGGTGTTGACTT